CGACACTGTAGGTTTTGTCCTGGTACTCGACTACTCGTATACTAGTACAATCACAGGGCAGGGGCCGTTGGACTGGTGGCTTATGTCACCCCTGCTCCCAACGTCAACCGGGGCCAGCTGCAGGTGTACACGCTGACCACGAGCAAGAAGGCTTGGCAGTGTGCAAAGTTTTGACTGCACCGTTTTCGGCAAATTTGCGACACTGTAGGTTTGGCCTGGTACTTGTATACGAGTACAATCACTGTGCAGGGGCAGTTGGACTGGTGGTTTATGTCACCCCTGCCCCCAACGTCAACCGCGGCCGGCTGCGGGGGTACACGTTGACGATGAGCGAGAAGGCTTGGCAGTGTATCAAAGTTTTGACTGCGCCGTTTTCGGCAAATTTGCGACACTGTAGATTTTGGCCTGGTACTTGTATACAATCACTGTGCAGGGGCCGTTGGACTGGTGGTTTATGTCACCCCTGGTCCCAACGTCGATCGGGGCCGGGTGCGGGAAATACACACTGACCACGAGCAGGAAGGCTTGGTAGTGTGCAACGTTTTGACTGCACCGTTTTTGGCAAATTTCCGTGGTCATAAACATAAATTTTGTGTGCCTCACCAACTGAGCTAGACAGCTGAGAGCACTGACCGTTACTGAGGGTTCTTCCTGGTAATTGTGGGGTCCTGGAATGTCGCCTCAATATTTTAGAAACACAGGTCCTTTGGGTGAAAATTAGTGCTAGCCCTGGGGTTCTTTTGGGCATTTGGGTGTTTATAAACATACCAGCCCGCCTATTTGTTGACCTGGAGGGTCCATTTGGGCGTTTCCTTTTCTTTTTTTCGTTTTGGAACGAGCCCCTTCTCTCTGGGGGGCGCCATCCCGGTTGCTCATCACGGGCAAGCATGACACAGCACATGAGAAAAAACTCCAAAAAAGGAGGAGAAGAAGAAGATGAGCCTTGCCCTTGCGGTACTAGCCACCAACACAGGGGGGGGCTGCTAAGGGGTACCCCACGCCCCAAACCTGGCCTGCCTTTTGGGTGTTTATTGTTCCGGGGGCTTTTTGGGAATTAATGCACCAGTTCAACCGGACTGGTGGTTAAACCACCGGTCCCCCAGGGGGTCTTAGGCCCCCCTCTGGGGAGGCTCTGAGGCAAATGCATATGGACCTGCCCGGCGCACCGATTCAGCCACTGCGTTAACGGATTAAAAACGTGGAGGTACGGGTGGTATACACATTGGCTGCAGGACAGGTAGGCAACAGTGCACAGGATTTTTTAGTGCACCGAATTTGGTGATTTTTCACGCTCGAGACTTTCTGACGGAAATTATGGAAAATACCTGGAAACTCCGGACGAGAAGCCGAAGTTTGTGGCACTGTTAAACGACCAGTCCGTCGAGCTTCTTTTTCCCCATGTGGATTTGCTGCGTGCCAAATCCTTCCAAACCGGCACAACATTGTGGTTTGCCTGGCGACGACTCCCTTTTCCGTTCAGTAGGCCCGACCCTCAATTTTGCGGTGAGGTAACTAGGGCTTCACAACAAACTAGCTGGGAAACGGACTGGTGGTTTCAACCGCCAGTTCACCCGAAGCAAAGTTCAGCTCTTACCGGTTTACGAGGCAAGAGCTTTTCGGTTCGGCCCGGGCTGGTAGCAAACGCGGCAGGCCAAAAGTCGCAGTTGCAGGCTCACAATCTGTGGAAGGTAGCTTCGTCAACTTAGGCTCGCGTGAAGTGGTGGTTTAAATGACCATTATGTTTCCCGGCCATTTAAATGACCATTCAGGGTTGGCCTACCGGACCAACAAAATGGCTGGCACCGCCAGCCAAAAGAAGGTCCGTGTCGGCTTGTTTTTTCTTTGGCCCGCAGGGCGTTTCCAGGCTCGGCAAGGAACGGGTCAAAAGTACTACCTTAGTAGTTTAATTGAAAGGATCTGGCAGACCTGTAGAGTACATGAAATGACCCTCCTCTAAGATCCTCTACTGTCAAAGGTAACCCGACCGTCCTTTAGGTTGCCTTCTGGCCCTTCTGGGTGTGCTTGTATTGCAATTAAACCGCTAGTACACGGCCCCAGCCTTGCGGAGAGTTTTTGTTGCCACAAGCAAAACTCAGAGGCGCCGCGCGGCCAGGCCTGCCGTTGAAAAAAAAAAATCGGTGGCCTCCGAAATGGTGCGGGTTTCATGCTGACACGCGCGGGCTGATATGTGGTGTACTGGTGCTTTAAGGCCATTTTGGGCATTTTGGAAACGGTTGCTTAGGGTCCCATTTGAAATCGGGGCTCGGTTAGGCATTCTTTTTTTTTTTTTTTTTTTTTTTTTTTAAATGGGCCCAGTGCCCAAGGCTAATATTACCATTAAGAAGATCGAGGCCGGGGTCCTCACAGTCTGCCCGGAGTAACCGAACCGAACTTGCTGAGAACCGGGCTCAATGTCCCTCATCTGGTAATGATAATGATCATGATGATGATAATGATACTACTGATGATGATGCTAATGAAAAAAGACTATTCTATATCAGCAATTCTGACCTCCTCATCCTAGAACAACTCCTAGCCCTCCCGATACCAGGACATTGCAACTCAGAGACAGTACCAACCTAACAAACGTCTACCATGACTGTTCTCTTCTCGCTCCCTTGCAGTCCCCCGCGGCTCGCCACTGGATTGCCTTCCTCCCTCGGCGAACCCCAGATCTCTCTACAAGGCCTCACACTCCTGCCATTTGCAGGTTACAGGCATTCTGGTTAGACCCTTACAGGTATTTTGTGAAACTACCTCGGTCCTTCTGGTCACTGTGGGTCCTTTGTGCCCTTATCGTTGCTCACCTCAGGAGTAGGGGTATACAGAATAACATGGAAAATCTCAAATGCCATCATTACCCTTCAAGCTCTCCGGCTGATTTGAGAGCCGATGGGGTTTGAAGACACATGATAAGCACACCTGAATGGGACCGCCAATGTGCTTCAGATGTTGCAAGACAATATAGGAAGGGGGATCTTGACTGTCCATTTGCCCCACTGGCCAACCACCCTCTCCACCCTCTCCACCCTCTCCACCATCTCTCGCCTTTGCCACTGACATTTTTCTGTCCGTGGGAATCAGTGGAGCAGCTCTGTACATAGAGGTCCAGTGGTAGAGATTTGAACCGTACTTGGTCATCGATTGAGTAGTTTGAAGGCACACTCACACGCTAGTAGCTTTCGCAAAATACGATGGGGACATTTGGTGGCCGGGAAAGCAACTTGGTGCACTCAGTAGGAGTGCAAATGGGAGAGGACAACATAGGGGCATTCTAAATTGAAAAAACAAAAACAAAAAAAAAACAAAAACACAAAAACAACAACAACAACAACAACAACAACGTAGGGGCATTCTGGCAACTGTGGAATTTGGTATCTGCACAGTCACATGTTGGCAGCTGCAAATCTGTTCTTTTTTTTTATTATTTTTTTTGCCTTTCTGTAACCAGTTGAGTGCGTGTGTGATCAGTGACTACGCACCGAATGTCAATTTCAACGCAATCACTTTTGACACAATCGCTTCTGATACAATCGCTTTCAATTTTCAAAGTTTTGATACAACTGCTTTCAGTACCAGCATCACTATCACCTGTGAGGGATTGTTAAAAAAAAAAATAATAAAAAAAAATAAATCAATCCCTTACGACACAATCCAGCAGTCCAGTTGTTCCTGGACATGAAACAGATCATCCAGATTTTGCACCGACAAAAAATCGAAAAAGGAAGACGGGTTTTGTGAGCAAGTCTGGAGGTGTTTGCTGCCTCTCGCAGCCCAGCAGGCCGCTGGCGTGGGCTGGCGTTGGCTAAGGCAAATACTACTTTTGAAATACTACTTTTGAAGGACGCAGGCCCTGGTGTGTGACTAGATACAGTACGCTGATGTTGTTTATTTTGAGGCACCCAAATAGAACGCACTTTCAGTCCAGATGCAGCGATAATGACCGGGCGTTCTATTCAGGTGAAGACGGTAGTGTGAGTGTGCGCTGAACGTACTCAGGCTCAAAGGGTAGCGAGGTAATTGATAGCAGCCGAAAGTTAGTTTCTCTTTGAAGAAAGTGTGTATATTCAGAACATGGTTGTGGCTCATTCCCTTTGAGGAAAGCTTGGGTTTGAAGTCTTTTGATGTATTTACTATTTAGCGGTATCCGCAAGAGAAATATAATCCAATCGATCAAAATAAGGCAAAGCTTGTAGTAGATAGGTTTGGACTCATGCCTGGGGAAGCAACTGTCTGGCCTGCTGAACCCAAGGTCAATTGTGTTAGGAAGGAAGGTAAGAAGAGCGGTGCATAGGGTGCGCACACACAACAATGGAAGCATAAGCAGCACACCCAGAGACAAGCGGGCAGAGACTGGACTCGCGGGATAGCGGGGAGGGAGGCATACACAGAAGAAAACATCCAAACATCCCTGGGATATAATGTATGGTCGTTATTGCTGTATCTTGAGTGAACGATGCCCACGATACACAGATGTAACGACCGTACATTCTATTCGGTGGAAGACGGTCTCTTCTTCTCCTCTCCTTTTTCGCAGTTCTTTGAGTTCTCTTCATTTTCTGTATCATGTTCTCTGCCCCCCTTTTTCTTCTGGTTGAGTTATACATCGTGGCGCGGAGTTTGAACAACACACGTCCTCGAGTCCACTCACTACCTTCTTCCCCCGAATACAACATACGGTCATTATAGCTGTATCTAGACTGAAAGATGCCTCAAATACATAATGACCGTACATTGTATTTGGGGGAAGAAGGTAGTCAACATTCTACATGTCTATGGACTACGGAGCCCCCCAGCATTTGTGCATTCCAGTACGTCATTGCAGTTGCTGATATAGCAATTGTATGGCACATAGTTTGGGCACTAGGGTCTGGTTCCAGCACAAGATTGCGATGTGTGTGCAAAGGTGTGGAGAGATCCCAGTCGCCAGACGAAGCTTATGACCGCGAGCTCTCCCGTCGTGATGGATCTTGTTTGGTGTACCTCTTTGTTCTGTGCAGTGGTCATCTTGTAGCAGGTCTTTGTCATACGTATCCACTCACCTGAGGTGGTGAATTTGCGGTCCTGGGAAGGGCATGTTTTGCTGAAGATGCTTGCAGGCCGTTCGCGGAAAGGTGCAATCGTGCAATAAGGCTGGAGGCGCCGGGGTTTACACTCGCACAGAGTGGTGGACGTCAAAGGGTGGAAGTTAGGGACAGCGGGCGCCTGTTCGGCCCCCTAATGTGGCGAGTAGAAGAGGAAGTGCAGCCTTGGTTGTGTCCAGTGTGCACAACTGGGGAAAGGAGGCCAAGGTTGCACCTCCAAACATGTGCTGATGTGGTGGTGGTGGTTGGACAACTGTACTGTGCAGCAGTCGGAAACTAACTGACTGATCCGTAAAGGCTCTGACAGGTCAGATGCAAAAAGTCAGACTCCTGATGATGCTGGCACGTTCAAATTGCGATCTGAAAGAAAACGTGGCACCTTGGTCAGCGAGATAGCTGTGACTGTGTGAAAGAGCTGCATGCTCGGGTAGCTGTGCACTGCAACAGGACTTGGCCCTCCTCTCTTGGCTGATTGATCGCTCTGCGTACTCAGCTTTTAGCTTTTCCCTTCGTGCAGTGCTGAAGAATCGAAGTCCATTCACAGTTATCGGCTGTTTGCTGTTTCCAATAGTCTCGTGACACCTGCTTACGGTTTGGTCTGCATCATTGCCTATGTTTCTTTCTTTTCTTTGCTGCGAGCAAACTTGCGGCGTTTGCTCTTTAGCATTTTCTCTCTGAATGTCCTCGTCGCCGATATTCGCTCGCTGGAAGGGGCAGGGGAACAGCGAGGCCTGCCATTTACCGCTTTCAAGACCAGGTTCACGCCAGTGCTCCTCTCGCCAACGATCGCTTGCTGGCTGGTGCACACCAGCAAGGTCTATCTAAAGCTTGTCAGCCATTTGCTGCTTTCGATCGCCAGGCTGATATTCTTTGCTCCTTCGTGTACGTTGTCGGCTACTTCAATACGCCGCCGGGAAATTTACTGTCTGCTGTTCAGTGGTTTCTGTCCTACACATTGTCCTCTCCGGCTACAGTTGGGGAAGCGATACCTATGGGTTCTGTTGCATTTCCAGACCTTGGCAAACACTGCTCTGTTGAGAGTTGCAAGCTAATCGACTTCCTGCCGTTCCAGTGCGATAAGTGTGACAAGGTAAGAGTAGCTCCTGCAGAGTCACATCCACTTTGATTGAACCCTTAGGTTTTTACGGCTTGCGTTTTTAGAATATTTTTGCGCATTGCCGTGTGGGGATTCAGTCCAGCCAAGAGCGAAAATATCAGAGCAACGACTGCACATGGCATTTCTTTTGTTTTTTTTGGGTGTAAAATGAAAAGACGTGCTGGGGGGAAAAGGAAAGAAAGAAAAGGTGCTGCATTGTATATTCGTTGCCGAAGAGCTGTGTGAAACTGCATCGGTCGAGTCGAGGCAACAGGGAACGTTGTTGAGGAAGGAACGTGTATGACAAAGGAAAAAGGGACATGCACTGCTGTACCATTGTTTCTTCTCCTGTCCTTCTTGCTCTTCCTTACCCCTCCCCCCTTTCCATAATTTCCTTCTGCTCCCCTCACATCCACTCCTGTTGATCCCTTCTGCTGAGGGAGGGCGAGAGAGAGAGAGAGAGAGAGAGAGAGAGAGAGAGAGAGAGAGAGAGAGAGAGAGAGAGAGAGAGACAGAGAGACAGAGAGACAGAGAAAGAGAGAGAAAGAGACAGAGAAAG